GCGGTGGGGCCAGGGCCGAGCTCAGCGAACAGTAAAATTATTTTCAGGACTAAAATTGGCGATTACTTTGCTCCTGAGTTATTTTCTGTATGGGAAAAGATATTCGCAATTTGCACTGAGATACGGTTTCGCATAGGGCAAGAAAAGCTGTTCTTTAAAGTTGAATTTATGGTTGTGAAATAACCTAAAGACTTTGGCCTGCAGAGTGAGTGGTCACAAACTGATGTTTTGCTCCTGCTTTCACAGTATGTTAGGAAATGGAGATGAACGTTTCACAGTTGTAAGGAGGAGAAGTTGCGCGTTATCCTACCTTGAACGTTACGTGGAAGCGGAAGGCTAGATAAATTTGTTCCATACAGCTGTTGTCTGCTGTGGGTTTCTGTTTAGGCCTCAGATATGGGGGGACCCTAACTCAGAGCTTATTATTAGTGGTCAGTGTCATTTGCAGATGCTAATCGTGGATTATTTTACTTGCTTGAAGCTACATGTTAACATAATAAGTTTATTCTCAAATTTATCTTTTTTATTCCGTCAATCTCAGAAATGTTTCTGTAAGTAGCTTCGGTCAAGCCTGAGCGACTTTCCCATCTAGTTGAGGTACTCAAATGCGTGGCTCCTTGAAAATGCTCTACTGGCACGTCTACTGGAAAAATGCACTGAAAGATGAGATTTTAAATGAACGTCAGTGATAACAGATTTAATTTTTACTTCCTTTCAGAGGAATGTATATAAAAGTGTAAATAGTTAAAAGTTTTAGAAATAAGTCTCACGGTTTCTTCTTTGCTTTTGTAGAGCAGCACTTGCTGTAGTTTTCCTACTTGATACTTCCGTTAAAAGTCAGCCTGAAATAACCTACTTGAAAATATTGTTTTTCATAATTTAAGTCTTGACAAAAAGTAACTAAAAAAATTTACAGAATACTTGTAAACAAAAAGAAAGAGCTAATTCTGAATAGTAGAATTTTAAGCAGTAGAATAAATGGTAGCCAATTCTAAGTAGTGCTGAAGAAGTATGAGCAGCGGAGATAATACTGGACTTTGAGGAGCAGTGATCTGGTAAAGACGACCAGTCCTGATGATCCTGACCCTTAGTAAGGAAATGGGGGTGATGTCTTGGGCCTCTTGATGGATTTATATTACTGTTCTGATCTTGAGTTACTTTGTTTGAGTGAGAGTTAAGTTTCGTCTGTTCAGATACATGAAAGAAAAATCAGTTTGTATTCAGAGCTTTGTAAGAGAGGGTAAACTAGCTAAACATAAGAGGTAATCCAGATCCAGAAGTATCTTATTGCAAGAACAGTTCAAAATTACCAGTGGACCCTGGGTTTAGTCAATTTTTGCAACTAAAAATACATGAATAAAGGGAATTGTGCATAGACTTACCTGTTTTGTAAGTCTATGCACAGAACAGGGATAAGTGGGGAAGCTCACACTGTTTGCTCGTTCAGCTTACTGCCTTCTCGTTGTGTTTGATGCCTCTCCCAATAGTACAGGGCAGTGAGTGATCATTCTCCTGTTTGCCTTCTGCCATTTCTTTGGGGAATTTTGAAAACTCCTTTGGTAACCTCACTCAGATGTTCAGACTGAAGACATCTAATCTACATAACTGTTGTTTGTATGGAAACTGTTCCCCTTTTCACACCGTCCTATGTACTTTTTTCTTCTGTATTCTTTTTGAGATGAGAGGACAAGAACTGCAAACAGCGTCTAGGATGTGTGGACTATGATGTAGTGGCATGGTGATTTTGTTTTCTCTTCATCTAATAATTTCCAGTAGTCAGTTTGTTTTGACTATTGATGAGCACTGAGCTGAAATTTCCATAAATCTATCTTTAGTGGCCATAAAATCTCATTTCTGAGCAGTATAATTGGCTTGGAAACTGGTTATGTGTAAAAACATATTTGCTGCTTCATCATCGTCGTCATTACTTTACCACATAGATGATAAAAAGGCAGGTGAAAGTCTATAGTGTGAAATTGGAATTACAAGTTTTAGCAGTCAACCCACAGCTTTATTATCAAAAGCTTAACCAGCCAGCAGGCTTCTTTACCTTACTGTCTGCCAACTTTCTGTATCATCTGTGAACGTGCAGTACAACCCAGGCTTTATTAGCTTGCCAGATGGGACTGCGCTAGTCGCCCCTATCCATTTTGAAAGGGTTTGTTTTCATTTACTCATTTGCTGGCGCATTCTCCTTGGCAAATACTTTTATGGCAGTTATCTTTTTTTTTCATAGCCAAGAAGCTTATATTCTGCTATTTCACAGCTGTGAACTTTGCCACTGAATGATGGTCTTGAAATATACTATGGTAGCTCGAGTTTGGAGCCGTGGCATTCTTTTCGATTGGGTAACCTAGTTACCTAGTTCTTGCTGTTTGGGATGCTGCAGGTGAGTTTCTTGGAGAATGCAGAAAACAAGCATCATGAAGGATGAGCGATATTTTTTTTTTTTTCTTTAACTGTGAACTATTATTTTACTTGCAGAAGTAAGTGTGTGTGTATTGTGGTTTACTGACAAAAAATACATTTCATCCTTCAGGCTAACTTTTTTTTTTCTTCCCCAAACTTCAATTATTTGTGCAATGTAAAATATGGGCTTTTATTTAGATCTTCCTGAAATAGTTAAATGATGGTGGCCTGTATCGTTGCCTCTAAATGAGGAAATGCTGCAGGGAACCAAGTTACTTCTCTGAGTTTCACTTAAGGTGCTTTTGCCAGCTGACTTGGGAAAGCAGTATCAGATCCTGCTGTGTCAGAGACAGCATTGAAAGAAATAATTTGCAGTAGGCTTTTCAGCTTTAATTATTTGTATGGAACTGATGCCTACTACTTTTTCACATGTAACGTTTTGTAACTCGTTATAGGAAGTTTCATTTTAAGTGACGTGGTAACAACAGCAGAGAGGAAGGTCTGACACTAAGACCCAAAGAAGATTCTTGATATTAGCATTCATTTGAGATGCAATTAGATTTATAGGGTGTATTGAAGAAGTGCTCCTTCTGTTTCCTTTTGAATGAGGAGGAAGTAGTTGTATGGGAAGTCTTTCAAGTTTTTTGCTGCTGTGAGGAATGACTTATTTGTGGCATAGCTTTTTAAGTATTGGTTTTGTATATAATACATTTACAACCCTCCTCTGTTATTCACAGTCTTACTTGCTTTTGCAGGAAATGAGTTGATTATCTTTTTGGCTGACCAGAAGGAACCCTACTTTAAGCCCCGTGTTAAGTTACCAATGAAGTAAGTATCGATATTCAATGGTGAAACAGTGTAAGTGGCTGTTGTTCTTGAAAGTGCATCTCTGCAGTCAGTAGGAGCATGGCTAGAATTGTCTGTGCTGTTGTTACCTGTTTGACTGTGTTGTTCAACTTGCCCTTAGAGCTCCAAGTTCTTTGACCAGCTTCCTGATTAATTTCCTGTTACATTTTGATTTGATTTGTTTGGATTTTGTGGGTCAGATAACAGAATTTGTGGAGATGAGTTTTGTCATTCATATTATTAACTAACAGGTGTGACTTCCCACCCCTTATGGAATTTCTATGCTTTGGATTTTTTTGTCCTCTAATTAGTATTAAAAATACCCATATCTTAGAATATTCTTGCAGTTGACTTGGTTTTCCAGGCCTTTATTTCCTAGGAAAGCAAACTATTGTTCCATATCATAGGTTAAGTCTTTTTGGCAGGTAGTATTAGTCTCTGTCCCAAGACATGTTTTCAGGGAAATTCTTCTAGTCGCTGTAATTACTAATAGAATCCAGCCAATATCATCTGCTTTAGAGAGAGAAATGGAGAATGGTGTTCTGGTATTTCTGTATAGAGATCTGTTCCTTTCTAAAGTTCAAATATGGCTTTGAAAAAAGCATCAATTTTTAATAAATGTAAAACAATCTGTGTGTTTATGTACATATATATGTACTAGTTTTAACCGTAGTAGTATTACAGGATATGTTATTGCTTATTCATAATGCTTACTACTAGTATTATATCTGTTAAGAGTAAAATTGCTGTTATAGCTCAGCTTCATCTTCTATAGTTCTATATATTTTTATTTTTCCGTATTCCCTGTTGCTAATAATAATTGGGACAAAAAGGCAAGCCTATGAACACAGAAGTACTTTCAGTTTTCATGCATACATTTGTACAATTATTTGCATGTGGGGTTTTTTGTTTGTTTTTGATTCTAGATCTCTCGGTGTTACCATAACCAGTGTAGTTCCTGGAGATTATGATGGTGATTCACAAATGGATGTCCTCCTGACTACCTGGGCACAAAATCATGGCAAAGATGAACTTTCAGTGTTTATTTTCTGGGGGCACAACCAAACATTAGGTGAGTTGCTGAGACTGCTTATTAATAAGATTGTTAGACTTTTTAATAATTCAAAGTATTTTCAGAAAGTTATAACTCATTTTACAGTGTAGTGGTTGTTTTTACAACTAAAATAGGGATTAGCAGCTATTCAGCTTCATACCCATATATTATCTTGCTCTTAAACTGTATTCAATAATTAATGAAAGAGCACAAAGCTAAAACTCTCATTTTATATCATGCAACAGACATAACCAAAAGATATTATAGTTTGACAGTAACCTACTAACTGCAGAGCTTCTTCTCGTGGCTTACCCATTATGTGTGTCAGTTTTACAAAGGTTACCTCAAAAGACTTATCTTGAATTTCAAATGCACTGAGAACCTGGTGTAAAGTTTAGTGCATAAACTTTCAAAATATCATACCTAAGCTTATCAACAGTAATATTAACACTCTTATTTCTGTTAAACCAAATTCTTTAAAGACACTGACACAGTAAAGTAGGTTTGGGGAGAGGTTTCTAGAGTCCCTACCACTGGAAGTTTTCGAGAACTTCAGAATCCAGTTTTCAAGAGTCTTTTAGGAGTATTCTACGTATAGCTGATTCTATCTTAGGGTAGAATCATGGATTGTGTGAACTCTGGAAGTCTCTTCTGTTTTCTGTTGAATTTGCTAGGAAAGGGTTTTGGGAAGAGTTTAGGGTTTGGAGAAGGACAGAAAAGCAGAAGAAGGTACTCTTTTAAGTCCACAAAAACTACCAAAGAATAATCACTATTATAAACAACTGTGTTATGAAGGGTTTACAAGTGAGGCAATTGATGACCTTAGATAGCATTGCTTCTGGCTTTAATCAGAGGTGAAACCTGGGAAAATGTACTGGATCAAGTATTAAGAGAATAGGAGGTAGCTGTAGTACTGGGAAGAATATGAAGGATTTGGATTAATTTATGCTGTCTTGCTTCTGAATAAACAAATATTGGGAGAGGCCCAAATGAGCATTTGGGGTTTAGAAAAGGAGTCAGAGATAAAAAATTCAGGCAATGGTTGGTATGTAGTGAGCCTACTGGGAAGGTATGTGGTGCCTGCTTGGGTAATGGAAGTGTGACAGACGAGTCAATAGGATGGTGCTGTCATACAAAATGTGGAAACTGGAAAGAAGAGAAATGTTACAGAGAGGTGAAGGAAAGGGGGATTATGTGGCAATGAGTTTGGATTACAAGTAAAAGTGAAGTCTGAGAGGTTATAACCTGGTTAGGATTTAAAATTCTTGCTTCCCATTTAGGCAGTCTACCTCTAATCGTTATTTCAAACAATCAGTGTATGTGATTAAGAATGTTTTTTACAGTGACAAAACATTAAACGGAGGCCTTACATGCAATGTTAAATTTTTAGGCTGTCTTCATCCTAACCATTTCAGATTTTGTGTATGTATGATTGCAGTCATACATAGAAGTAAGTTTCACTAAAATCTATTTAGAATAATTTGTTGAAGGGTTTAATGGAAAGGGAAGAAGCTTCAGCATTTTAACTGTAACTCACCTTTCCTGCATAATTTCAGGCCATTTAGTTGTTTGTGTTCAGTGGTGGCCGATTTTTTTTTTTCTTTTAATAATAAAATTGGGTTGTAAATTAATAGAAGAATTATGTTGAAGTTAAAAATGTAGATGTCATAACATTGGTAACTGAATCAATTTAATATTTTCTGGTTTTAGATCTTAACCATAAAACTATGTTAAATAAGACTTTTCGTGATGAGCCTCTAGTAATGGAGTAAGTATGACCTACTTCTTTTGAAAACAACATTATAATGGTGACTAAGAGCAACTTAAATATATTTTAAAGCTAAAATTGGGAACACATGCTCTTTACCTGTTAATAACAGGATGATTTATATAATGTTAACTGGTCTAATGAAAGATGACAAAACTTATCAGTCATCTTTACAAATCTTGTATGTTATATCATCCTGGCAATAGTAACTAAATAAGCTTTTATTTTTTTAATTTCAGTGCTCTGTTTATGCAGAAAAAGAGCCATTCATTTTTGAGTGAATTTTGTAAAACAAAAACCTTACTGGCTTGTCAGGCTGAGCAAATATCCCTTTCACAGCGTACTTCCCTCTGTGTGAAATGCTGAACAAGAAAGAGGGGGAAATATAGCTGGAAAATCAAATGCATGCCATAGTGTAAAATATTGAAAGAAGAATACTGCTACCAGCAGCTCAGACAAGAGCCAAAATTCAGAAACGACTATGCAGCTAAAAATTCTTCATTGCTTGGTGGGGAAATGCTAACCAAATACAGGTTAACTTAAGAACAGTTAACTTCAACTCCTGTAATGGCTGAGATAATACTGAAATTGTTTTGTATTTTCAGCTTTAATGGAGACTTGATTCCTGATGTCTTTGGTGTCACAAGTGATTCAAGTAAGCCACAGATATTGATAGGCGGGTAAGCTAAGGGTTTGTTTGTTTATTAGCATGAATTTTGTTAACTCATTGTGATTCCACTTCTGTTCTTATTAGAGAGGCATAAGCCTCATGTTGAACAGGAACTGTGCGAACGTATGAATCTTCTCTCATTTCCATGTGTATCATTAAACATTCTATGCCACTCTGCTTCTAATTTTTAAAGTGTTATTTTAGAGGGGAAGTAGACAGTCTATGAGAGCTGAGAAACCAAAAACCATGTTAGTTGACATGAGAAATAGGATAATTGTTTCTTGGAACAGTTATAGTCTCCTTTGTTTAGTACACTTTGATATTTATTATTATAATCTGTATTATGGAATTCTGTGCTGTGCAAAAATACAAACTAAAGTTTTTAAGTAGCATCCATAGAATTTAAGCTGCATTTAGTTATAATAGATGAAGTGAATAGATGATGCAAGAAGTACTGGAACAAATCTTAGAATATAAGGGATGGCAAAAGAAAAATGTGCAAGAGTTTGAGGTAAGCTTAAAAAAAAGTTCAGCTCATTTATCTAGGAAATTAATTGTAATGGGAAGGTTAGACAACATGGGAAATCAAAAGCATGGGAAGTGCAAAGTGTAAGGGTATTAAGCTATATATGGAGGAAAATATTTGGTATGCTTATTGGGGAGGAGATTCATAAAGATACATAAGGCAAAGGCAACTTTAAGTAGCAATATAAGTATGTATGCAACTCGTTCTCTGTATTGCATCTTTTGTGTTAAGGGCTGGCTAAGGGCACTCTTCGGCAAATAGAAGTTGACTGAAGACTTATGAGATTGCAGTAAAGAGGACTAAGTTTCATTACGAAAGTCTCTGTTAGCCCTGGAATTTCTAGAATGGGACTAGTTAGCAAATACTGGGATAAAAATTATTATTTTAATGGGATATTTAAATGGCTAGTAAGGACTATGCAAGGGGTTAATGTTGTTTCACTGTTTTGGGTATACCTGGAGGTATTTAAAAGATGGGTAGATGAGGTGCTTAGGGACATGGTTTAGTGGTGGGATGGCAGTGTTAGGTTAACAGTTGGACTTGATGATCTTAGAGGTCTTTTCCAACCTAAAAAAAAATAATTGCTGAAATCAAAGCATAACAAAATAATGGATCTCTCCTGACTCAGAAGAACCAGTCTCTAGACAAAAAAATGAAAAAGTAGCAACATCTCTAATATTGGGCAAGATGGCAAAGAACTTTAAATCTGTCTTTTGAAGAGAAGTTATAAGTTATTTGTTAAAAACACTACTGGACCCCAGAGAAGGCCAGTTCACGTTCTGTTCAGTTTTCCCCATTCTGCTTTTGAAGTTTGTAATCTGATAAAGAAAAAGAAATCTTTGGCTTTTAAGAGCTATTAGGATTGTCTGTTCATGGACACAAATCGGTGTGACTCCAAATTAGTGAAAGTTTTGTTACTGAACAGGATGACCTTTTTTTTAACAACTAAAAATGTAAGTCTAATGTTTTCCTGTGACTTTTACCAAACTGAATTTAACGTACATTCAGACTTTGACTTTTGTTAGGAAGAACTTTAGTGATAGTGGTGTGGGTTTGGGCATTCTTTGAAAAAGAGGAAGCCTCAAAAGAAAGATACTTGAATTGGGACTCTTTTCCTGATTTAGAGATTCTTCTGTCAGTTGACAAAGAATGTGCTCAAAAGATAGCAGAAATTATTTTTAGGATGCAAGTTGGATTATAAATGTCAAAATAAATATGTTGTTCTTAGCTTTTGGCATTTTCTTTTTGAACTATTTTCTTTTGATTAATGCATAATTTCCAACAAATAATTGGAAAAATTAGGAACCAGTCTTGTGTTTTCTTGGAGGATTGGACCTTTAAATCAGTTGTTTGAACAAGTTTGTGTCTTCTAACTTGCTATTTTGCATCTTTTACATGGAACTTGGTAGGATTATCTTGAGTGTTATTTAGTAACGTTAACATAGAAACCTGCAGCTCTGTGTGTGTCAGGAGAAATCCAGGTGTTGGCATCACAGCTGTTTTAGGTTGGCATACAATCAATGCTTAAGTTTATTTTAAAAGAAAGAGTAAGTCTTTGCGTTCGTATGTGGCTTTCTTCAGCTATTGTTTTGAAAGAGGTCTGTTACCACTGGGAAATCAGTGAGATGATTACTCTGTCTCTATGGCAACAGTCTATCAGCTTTCTGTCCTGCATCTCCATGGCCCTTAAAAAAAAATAATTTAAATCAGGCTTGCCCCCACCCCATACCCCATCAGTCAGTTTAACAAAGCTATACCTGTAGTTCCTAACCGGCTATTTTCCTTTCCTCAGAGATCATTCAGAAGTGATGTAGGGTAAATAACATTTAAATGTGTAAGTGGAAACTATACCCTTCTTGGCAATATGGTTTTGGTCATTAATCCCAACTTGAATTTTATCACTTCTGTTACTTCTGTTTAAATTGGTGGCTTATGGAACAGAGATTTCAAATTCACAAGGGTGTTTCTGAACACCTTGAAATGATTAGATATTGAGAAATTTTATGAGCTTTTGAAGATAAGGAAAAATGGGAGGTTTGGTTCATTCTGTTGAAGAAATCCTTTCAGTAGCATTAGGATACAAATAAACTTACTCATTACAGCTCAAAATAAGACTGAGTGCTACAGGCAGCAGCATAAGCAATGTTTGTATGTGGAAAACCACTTTATGTCATCTGCTTAGAAAAGCATTTTTCTATTTTTAATCTAAAATGTTTCTAAATTTGTATGAGAGCTGTATAACCAACTTTCTTGGCTATCTTCAAAACTGAATACATAGAAAAACTTATAGAAAATATTTAATTATTTCTTTAAGATTAAGTGATTATTTTTAACATTCTAAGACTTAGTTATGATATGTGGGAAGTAATCAGAAGCTTATTTTTTTGCTTACCATAAAATGAGTCATGGAAGATAAGGACTTTAGTATTACGTATGTAATGTCACTGGAATAAACAAAGTCATTGCAGACAGTAATAATATCACTGTCCTCCTGTTGTATAGTGCATGATGAGATGTTTCTAAGTGTATTAGCTAGGGTTCTGAAAGTAACGTATTTGATGATTCAACCACTATGACTTTTGAAGGATTTGTTCTATTTCAGTGCACTGTTAATAGGGAGGTTTGCTGGAAGTTCCATCATTTTTAGAACAGAAAGCAGCAGGGCATATATGTTTATAAATAAATATATCACCTGCCTGGGAAATGACATAATTAGCCTGTAGTCCATCATAATATGAGAGTTTAATTCTTATGTTGATGATTTTTTTTTTAAGTGACTGAAAATAAAGTTTTTACGTGCAGCAGGCATCAGCTGCTGTAACAGCATGTGATTACATCCATTTTTGCTCATCTTTATTAATCCTAAAGTAGATGTCAGTACTGATAGTAAAACTACTTGAGGAAACTGGAGAGGATGACCATCAGTGTCTCAAGGTTTACAGCTGAAGCATAGACACTAAATTTCCCTTTGTGGGTAGTGATACTTTCCTGCGTACAAAAAAAGTTGCTTTAGAAAGTTAATAAAATCCTAACTGAAGCCCTGTGCTATGAATCATCCTTCGCAGAACCTTTCAAGCAATTACTCTAGTTAGTATATTGTAAGCTAAGTAGTAATTTTAGCTTAGCATTAGGAGAACATGCTTTCTGTTCAATTTTACTGAAAGTTTCACAATTTTTTTTAAAAGGTATATTATCATGATTAGCAGTCCCTATGCACTGATAAAATGTATTGCTTTTTATTCTTGTCTGTAGGAACTTATCATGGCATGCTGCATTGGAAACTCAAAGTAAAATGTATATACCGCACTCTCATGCATTTATAGATTTAAATAATGACTTCACTGCTGGTAAGTCATAAAAGTGTTAAATACCTTCCTAAAAATATTTATTGCTAAGTATACAATGTAACGTATTGCAATTTCCTTCTAGTATTTTAGTAAATTTCATTGATGGTTGTAAAGAGTTGATTTTGGAATGTTGTATTCAGTAATTACATGATTTTGCTACTTCTGATTTTTTTTTTCCAAATTTTTAATTATTTTATTTTAATCTCTACATTTTGAAAATTGAGTTTTGAAAAATAACTGCCAAAATGAATAACCTAATAACATTTGCTACTTCTTGATGATAATTTAATCGGAGTTAATGCTTGTTCTGAATAATTTTGTGTTCGCCATTAAAGCATTGTTTCCTGTTCTTTGTGGTGCTCTACTCTAGTATTCCGTTTGTAACTGAATCAGAAGCAGGGCTGCCTTTTCTTCATCTTGAGTCTGAAAATAGTTTTATAATTCATTCAGAAGAATGTTTTCAAGACTGGACTTATTTGTTTCTTGAAGCTTTCAGTGTGACTTCATTCTATTTTGTTGTAGTTAATTCTATCACTGAGAAAATGGCATGTAAGACTCTATTCTTCTATTACTAGATGAGCAATCCTATAAGCTATTTATAATTTAGTGTTCACAAAAGAGTACTGGAGACAACTTCTCTTATGGTAGATAAATTGTATTCTTCCTTTGTGTCTTTGTTTTCTTTGGGGTGTTTTTGTGAAATATGCAATGCAAGTTAGCCTTTGATTACCACGATGAATCTATTTATCACTTGCATACCTGGTTCATACCTCCAACCACATTGAAATATTGTGCTAAACTTGATTTCTTCAAACACTAAATGAATTCTGAAATGCTTTATCTTCTGCTAGATGCGCAATGTACATCAATTCATATATGGTAATTTTGGAAAGAGAGCTTATTTTTTTCCTATTTAGTAGCATGGGAATGAGAGAGGAAAGAATCCATAAATTTAATTAAGATGCTTATAAATGTTGGGGATTAAGTTAATTGCTTTAGCGCGTAGTCAAACCTTAATATTCAGTTCTGGCACATTGCTGCATGAAACTGTCAAGTGGAAATTCCAACTGGAAAATTAAATATACGGTTGCTTACCATAATCAGTGTCATGTAATAACCAATTCTAACACACTTAATTCTATAAATCCTTTGGAATTTTGTTTTAGTGGCATGGGCAGCATAGATGAGCATTCCAGGTAGAATTTTAAGATGACTATATTGAAATCTGAACTTACAGGTAGGTAAAAGTAGAAAGTTCAAGTTGCTTATATAGAACAATCACAGATTGATCAATTTTTGCAAGAGTACACAAAGGTTTTTGTGACAGCTAACAGCTTGAAGAATGTCCAGAGAGTTCCAGTTAGTGCTGGTGATATATGGAAGTTCCTCTATTAAATTGAAATGAAAGTCAGGATCTTTGCCTGGGGAGTGCTGGGACCTTTTATAGGTTCGCATCTCTATTCCTATATCAAGTTGCGAATAGAAGCTTCTGTGAAGCACTCCCCATAGAAAGACCCTGACTTTATTTGCTTGTATAAGCAAGGATATAACACCTCAGGTTGAAATGTGTTAAGTTACAGCAACCTGAAGAAAATTTCAAGGAAAATAATTCATTTTCAGAAGAAAACTGGAGAAAATATTACCATAGAATTAATTTATTTAAAATAACTTCTTACTTCTAGGATGGGAATCGTAAGTTGGTTTTTTGCTGTCCCTATGAAAATTGGACCAACTGTGAACAAGGCATATGTTGCTGAAAAATACCTTATCAGTGATATCTGATATTTCATGACTGACATGTTATTTCAAGACTGCCTGCTGCCAAAATGAAGTCACCAATCGTCTGGTCCCGTCTGCATACTTATGGCAGTTCCCTCACATCAGCTACATCACAACTGCTCAGGAACTGGGGCTGGCAGGGAACACAATTCATTTTCACTTGAGTTATTAAGCTGATCCAACTCGCCGTGCAGCTTCAGGATTGCCAGAGCCAATGTAAGCACAGAGAGAAGGTTGACTCCTCTTTTAGTAGCAGCAGTTGTAGCCTGCCTTTAACCAAGCATGAAATTGCACCTTGAGTCTCATTATGCCTTTTCCAAAAAATACCTGTTTAGTGTTCTCACCATGTCTCCTTTAATTTGTGTTCGTACAGAGTTGGGCAAGTGAGTCATAAAAATAGTCACAAAAGTAGTCAGCTGATAGAAATTAAAAAAAAAACCAACACCCCACCTGTATGTAATGGTCTATACAGTGCTACTAGTAGTGTGATTCTAAATGCACTCTGCCAAACAGGGCCAAAACAAGGTGCTGATATTACTGTAGTATGCCCACAGCTGGTCCTGTGTTTCGCTCTGTGCAGTCTGGATAGACTTTGTGGAAGACAGCTGAATGTCCTGTTTGTTTGGCTCGGTTCCTTGTTAGCATAGCTGGGGCAGTGCAGCCCTACTACGCCAGCAAAGAGAGGAGTGTGATTCATGCTGTGTTATTTCTCAGTGGAGTCTCATTACTTATTGGTTGGTTCAGGTAGAGCTAGTGAGGAGGATTCCTGGGACTCCTTTCACCCGCACTGCTGTTCTTGAGTTGGAAGAAAACCTCACTAAGAATAGGTCCTGGTACACATTAGAATCATATTAATTAAGAGGGAGGCATTGATGAGGATGCAGGGGAATTGTCTGCATGCTGGAATCCTGTTGTCCAAAAGACTTGGTAATCGTGACATTTGATGCTGCTGTGGTACTTTTTGACTGGAAAAAATCAGAGTATTTACTCACAGGCAATGCTACTATTCATGAATATGAAGATAGATTTGTACCTAAAATGGATGCACTGATTTTTGTTTACGAATAAAAAAACCAAACCTCCAGAACATGCAATCTTTGTATGTTGTTTTGGGGCAGGGTTTAAGACCTTTTTCTAATATTCTGCAGTGTTTTGGGGCTCTTTGTATTCTGTAACAGATGCAGCCAATTCCATGATTTTTAGCTGGGCTAATTCTGGCAATGCTATCATTATAAACAGCTTAGGAGATTTAAAGTGTGCTTGACATAAAAAAAGAAAAAATCCTCTCTGGGATGACAATCTTTTTGCTAGTTTATTGCCTAACCCGTTTTCAACCTGCTGATATTAAACCCTCAAAACACAGCTTTTAATTGGCATGCTTCTTCTGCTCTGGGTAAAATGAAGCTGAATTGTTATGATTTCATTATATGAGAACATGTTCATAAAGATGTTTTTAATCCCTAACAGTGCTTCATGAAAAGCTAACCGTGTAAGGATTTTATAATCCAAAAATCCACTAACCAGAACAAAGGTAATACTAAACAGAGATAATACTAATCTTTCTTGGTGAGATATAAACTAGGCCATTTCAGATAGTAATGCTGCTGCTGTTTTTAAATAAAGCATCCTCATGCAGAAATCTCAGCTTCTTACAATTTTTAATTCAGTAAGTAATTTTGAATTAGGCCAGGAATTTTATCTGATCCATGCAAAAATTTGCTGTAAAAAATTTTTACCGAAGGGCCTTTGTGTGCTTTATGGCTAAAGTAAATATGAAATTTTCAAGCGTCTTCTGCATGTGTATTAAGCCTGTGTTGCTCCAGGGAGGAGTGTGTAGTTCACAGAATGGCTGAGATTGGAAGGGATGTCTGGAAATGGTCTAGTCAGCCTACCTACCATCAGGGCCACTGTTCATACATGCACAGAGATAAGACTGGAAGATGAGAAAATGTGGTGACCCTTGTTAGAGTAGGGCTACTGGTGTCTAGTAATACATACTCACACTTGTCATTAGTTCTGTTTAACAGCCAGCTTAAGAAAATAATCTCAATGCTAATAATAATAGGCTTGTCTGAACAGATTAACATCAGGTGCATTTTATAGAGCATGACAGTCCAGGTGACCATTTCCAAAGCAGGCTCCTCAAGTAAGAGGCCTGTCTTAAAAACATCATATCCTCAAACTGAAAAATATACATTGCATGACTTAAGAAAAGTAGTATTTGTACAGGTTTTGACTCTTTTGACTTACAGTGAAGGACGGAGAAAGTAACTTCTGTTTGCATTAGTCCACTCAATTTAAACTAAAAACGAACTCGGTCTTTCTCAGAAATGTGTTTCAGATGTGTTAGTCAAGAGGCAGAGAGAATACTGTTTAATTGCATAAACACTATTTGCAATATGGTCATTATACTGAAGATTTTACAACCAAAATAGTTGAACTGAGCCACGGAGAAAAAGTGTTATAGCTGGAAAATGAGGCCAAGATAGGTAAAAGGCCTTGATAAAGACCACCCAGAAATGATGTGGAGATGAGTACCAATACAGATAACCTATTTAAAGCTAGACAATAGACAGATATATTTTGTTTACACAATTGTTAATTTGTATCACAGTACTTTCAGATGAATACTTTGGACCAAGCTGAATTTTAAATTTAGCATGGGTCACTAGGTAAACACTGATTAGACTGCCTTAACATAAGCTCTTATAGGTGTATAGAGAGTGCTTTATCTAAAGTTGAAATTTTTAGGATAGCAATTATTTTGCTACATGTAATTTTTTTTTTCTAACTAATTAACTTGATTGCTTCTATTTAAAACATGCTAAAATGTCAGATGTTCATTTAGGGCTAATGCTGTCTTTCTAAGCTGAAGTTGTAGTACTTAAATACTTGGAAAAAAAGGATTATTAATAAACAATAAATTCGTATACACTCAAAGTTACAAGTATTCTACCAAGAAATAAGGCAATGGCCCTGCAAATACTTTTTAAATGTTCAAATATATGAGACAAACTGGCTTGGACTCTGAATCATACTGTTACTTAACACTGTACATCTGCCAATGTATCCTCAAATGCTTTGAAAAATAGCTGATGTATTAAATATTCTGTGCCGTATTTGGATATGTGATTCCAGAGTTTGGAAATACTACTTTTACATCCTGTCTTGTGTTGAACACTAGCACATGGTGTGTATAATTGCAGATATTTCTGGAACTG